TTTTTTATACTGTTCAGATCATTTTTAATTCCTGTTATCTGAAAACATTTTACAAAGGCACCAACAGTTGCTGAATCATCTCTGCTGCTTAATTGCGACGTATTCATGGGAGCAATAGATACCATATCTTCTTGTTGAATATTGTCTGTCACCGACGAGACGGAGCTACTACGACTTCTAGTTGCTCTGTTAGGCAAAGAAGAATATCTTGAAGAGGGGTTGGTAGGTCTAGTCATATTTAGAATAAGTAATTTCTGGATGAAAAACGTGAAATAATCATATATACACAGATGAGCTCTCATTCAATATTATGTTTTTTTGTGATATTCCAATTGGGACCGAAACTGTGTATGACCTTTGGTACCTGACTAGTATAAATGGACTTTCAATTTTTAGGGTTTAACGTGATTTTTATTGACAAACATACTATCAAGTCTTTTAAGTATTATTCCACTCATGCATATTACGAAGCATCAGTTGCCTCCGGTGTAGAAGAAAATATAAAAGAAGGAAACAATTATTTCGGCTTTTTTAATATCTTTTCTTTCTTTTTGTTCAAACTTTCTAAAATGTAATGCTTTACTCCCATACTTGTCATGCCAAATTTTTTAACCATATATTGCTTTATTTTAGTTCTTTGAAATCCAAACATGCATATCTATTATAGGCTATCATTTGGACGTATTTCTTAGGTGCACTTTAAATGTTTTTTATATCAGCTTAACCACCTCTATTCCCGGACCATTAAGTCAGTTTAACAGTAGGTACACAAAAACAATATCTTATTAAGCATACCCGTATCTAATTTTTTTCAAAAGGTTATGCAAGCTGTAAAAATACAGGAACAACGCGACTGCTCTGCGTAATTAATTCTAATGCTTGGCCGTAGCGAATTGCGCTGGTTTACTCTACTGTGAGGTCTGATACGGGAAATACTTAGACAAAAAGATACATAGCGCTGTTTTTCTACTATTTCTATAATAAAATAAAATAAAATAGAATATACTTTCCTCATAATATTCCCTTATACATCGAATAATTTGCTATATGCAACGAGTAACGTTTATGAAACCTTACCCTTTTGTGTATGTGTGTATATGTGTGTATATGTGTGTGTATGTGTGTGTTTTTGTGTGTTTTTGTGCGAGTAGTGTAGGATCAACCCTGACAATTCCCGAAGCGTTAAATACAAATGTTTATAAAGACCTCAAAAGTAATAATAGATTAAGCTTTTAGTTTCAGATACATGAGATCATTCAGTAATTAAGTTATTTGTTTAGCCACGATTTGCATCGTTTGTTTATTTGATGAATTGCATAATGTACAAAGTTTGAAGTTCCACAAAAAAAAATAACAATTGTCATCGGAGAACGTGATGTTTGCATAACTTTAAATAGTTGCTTGCAGCTTACATCACAAAATGTGTTACTACAAGATTTAAAGTCAACCCATCCCCCCACTATATTCAAGTTAAGCAAATTCGATTGTCAATCTTTGCATGGTATTGTTCCACCCGACAGAAATCACTTTGTCGGATTAATGTCAATTGTTTGGTTGGTATTGACCCAACCGATACCAAAACTGAGACATAATTGACTGCACGAAATTAATCTTTTAACTATGTGTACTTATATATCGATATAATTATACTGCTGATGCCTAAATCTTATAAAAAAATAGTGTATGAATTAATGGATAGCTATCTTCTACAACCAAATATACAAATATTGATAAGAAATTTTTGTTTGGGATCGTATTTTATTCATTACAGAGATAATGAATATATGATCAACTACAACTATTATGTTCTATTGCCAATTACACTTGACAAACAAGGCATCTTTTACAGTAACCGTTGCATGATCTGATAAATAAATGTCTCGTAATACTAAATAATTATTAGAATACTCATGCTCCCGATCCCAAGAAACTGCCCACAAACAAATACTGAACACCATGTATATTATCCGGAGCCTGCTGACAATCAGGTAATTTAATCTGGGCATTTGAAATAGTATAAACCCTCATAGTATATAAGCTCTCCAAGTGGCCCATATACCAACAGATCGCTTGGTATTACACAGAATAGGATCATTCCCTGTATTCTTTAGTTTAGTCTTCACCTAATTCCAAGAATTATCTTGTAATTGATACCAAGTAATATCCCCCCTCTACTTTTGGTTGTTGTTTGTTGTCTTTTATATTTTTATGAACACAACATCTTGCAGAAGACAGTTGAAAAAAAAAACTATATATACTTTTAAATCTAAAAGCTCCATATTCTTTGTTTGTTCTTCATTCTATACTACTCGATTTGCATCATCACTGTCTTATTTGATATCATGCCATAAAAAAGGGCGGACAGGTGCTTATCATAGATTTTGAAACTGCATTCAGAGTAGTGGCACATAAGATAAGCTTTTTATAAAAGAACGCATTCGAATGATCCTTCCTCCAGTCTTCATTTCTCTATTTCAGATTGTCAATGAACATAGGTTGCTTTAAGTGTGTGTGTTGCGAGTTGATAAAAAGGGATCTGGGATGGGGTTTACGTGTTTATTAAACCTCTCATGGCAAGTGAATTCTCGACTGTCCATGTGCTGAACTTATTTTTGCCCATCTATGTTTGTGAATTGGCTGTGAATAGAGATTTCACTGAGGTGTTCTTCTCTTTCTTTCATCGTCTTTTTGGTCGCCTTGAATGTGGTTTAGCCTCTCGAAGTTGCTTTTATTTTATGGCAGACAGTACGATCGTGCATGTTTTTTTTTTGGGTATTCTAGCTGATTGCGTTTACATGCAGCAGATGAGCACTCCGAGTGAGTTCAATAATAACTTTCCCTTTCGGATTGTTTTGTTTAGTCATGTCTAAAAGTACGATGGTTATTTTTGTGTGGTGAAAGCGACATAGAGTCTGGACGAGGTAAAAGTTCACAAAAAAAAAAGAAAAAAAAAATCGTGCATAATTGTACAATAACATGCATACGATTTATATTTATTTAAAGTGCTAAATCGTCTCAACATGACTGTTGTGGCTGCACCTATCCCGTCATTATGCTGCCCTTATAAATACTGGTGTATCACATACCTATTGAACCATTATGTCAAGGACTCAATCATACAATCTCTGTCCAACTGGCATATCCAGGTCTCATCTATTAGATTTATCCAAATATTATTTTAATAACTCAACTATACGATACCGAAGCTTTAAAAAAATGTTCATACTAACATTTTTATGCCTTGTGACCCAATTCCGTCGTCCCTTCTTTTTTTTTTTTTTTTTTTTGGATATCTCACTGCTAGAAAACATGGGAGTAAAAAGAAAATTACTGCTGAGCGACGAAAAGTAATGAGAATTGGGAAATAGGAACAAGATACATGTACATCATAACACACTTGATAAGCATGACATGATGTAAAGACATGGAAACAAGAGTTATGGTTGGTATCTAATCATGTCTAAATTATTTTCATACATTATCAAGAAGATGCTAATTTGAGAGTTTATTTTTTAACTCGGATATGGAGGTTACGAATGTTGTTGCCTTGTCTTACAATCGAATTAAAAAGATTTCGGTTTTAAAATAAAAAGTGAACACCAAAAAGAAATTTGTTGTACGCAAGTCATCTTTTGACATGTACAACTAGTAACCTCTGTATTGGAGAACTTCTTTTGAAAATGAATCTTCATAGGGTCCTTTCTTTCCCCCTTGTAGAACCTATTAGCTTATTATCATGCGGAATAAATTTTTTTTTAACACTCCATGACTTTGGATGAAGTCTGATATCGTTGTAGGAGCTTGAACTAAAAGCTTAAATTTTTTCTTACTGCAAGGTGACACACTTGTCAATGAAAAAAAAAACCTTTTGCATCTACCAACTAAAAAAAAACCATTTTTAGATTTTCAAGATGAAAGGGGCTCTGGATCATGCATATTTTACATGAAGTGCGAAATAAGCTTTATGAACGCAAATAACTATTTAAGAAAAACAGAAAAGCCTCGGTGAAAGGGTTTGCAGCAAGTGTACAGAGTTACACCATGAGATACAACATCAAATTGACATTTGTAACTTTATATTATGGTGCAACATTTTTATCCGGGCCGAGTACAAAGCTTTCTTTTTATAAAAACCCTCTTACGTGTTCTGAAATATGACATGTGAAAAAAAAAAAGATCCTTAAAATAAACTATACTAAATAGACCCAAAAAGATGACCGAATACCAACATCACCATTTTCCTGAAAAAAAAAAAAAAAAAAAAATGCCCTTGTTGTACTCAATTTGTCTTGGTGCAACTATTTCGTCCAATCCCATTGAGAGGGAGTCTTAAATTATTGAAAAGACACTTAAAGCCGATTTTTTTTTCTGACACATTATTAGTTACTTCTCTTTCTTTTTCTTATCGTTTAGAGTATTTATAACATATACAATGGCTGCTAGTAGAAACTTGGCAGACGCTTATCGTAATACCGAGGAAGGAAGTTTTGGTTTATTGAATTTCCGAGATTTAGGTGTTTCTTCAGCTGACAATGCTGAACATAAAAAGTAAGGGAAACCTCATATAATATGAAAAAGTCTTCTCGTCGTACTTATATGCCCTGTTAGGTACATGAAGGAAGGTTTGGTATTTCGGTCAGCCACCATGGACAACATGAGTGAGGAACAAGTTGATGCATTCCTCAAAGCACACAACATTAAGACCATTCTTGACTTGCGAACTGGGTATAAAAAAAAAAGGGTAGCTAGTATGTTGTTCATGGACTAACTATTCTCTTTTTTTGTAGTATGGAAGGTCGTGAAGGTTTGCCTATTGACAAGAGTTTTCCTACCTCTGCTCTCGAGACAGTAAGTTTTTTTTTTTTAATTTTTGCAGAGGGACCATGTGACATAATATTGATCCCATTTACTGCTAGCTCACTCCCGCTAATGTCATCTTGGACGATAAAAATACCCAATCCGAAGCCAATATATCCGAAGAGTACAATACAACGGGTCAAGGTAAATTGATCAGAAAGAAGTACAAGGTTGATTTTGCAGGCAGAAACTTCCAAAGATATTGTGTTTTTGGCTCCTGTTCTCTCCGATTAAAACTGTAAGTTGAAAAGGGCTATCAGTAAGAAAAAAAATAAAGAATTTGGCTAATGGAAACCATAGTTATTTAATCTATTTGATGGCATTCTGTCAGCGTCAAAAAGCATCCTATGTTGTTGGTAGAGAGGTATTATCACCTATGGGTGTTGGAAAGATGTACAGAGAATTCGCCACCTACTGTCAATCCGAGATGCTTGCTGCAATGATGGTATTCACAAACCCTGATAATTACCCCATTGAAGTTCATTGTACCCAAGGAAAAGACAGAACCGGTATTGTCTCTGCTTTTGTCTTGACCATTGCTGGCGTGCCTCAAGACGTCATTGTGAATGACTACACAAAAACCCAAAAGGGTTTAGCCCCCATTTACGATGCCATGTTGGAAGAAGTCAGAAGATCTGGTTTATCCGAAGATTTTGCCCAGGCTCCTGCTTCTGTAAGTTGTTGTTTTGGACTCTAATAATAAGTATGAGAGACTAAATTATCTTATTAAATTAGAATATGCGTGATTTCTTGAGTTTCCTCACTGAAAAATATGGCTCCGTAGAAGGTTATTTAGATGTTATCGGTTTTGGACCTGAGCTCCGTGATCGTGTTAGAAAGATTATCTGTGTATAGAATACGATAGAGAAAACAATCAGTGGGTCGTTTCTGCTTAAATAAATCGGGTCGCTGATATAAAAAAAAAAAAAAGAGATAATTTATTACATAAGCATTATTCAGATTATAGCCAATGCTTCAAAGGCACCGGCTATTAGGATCATGTATGTTTATGGTCCAATGCTAATTCTAGACAATAATGCTCTTTCTTGCATAGTCTTACTTTATATAATGGAAGCTTTTGCTTGATTTGGTTTAATTGGAATTAATTTTCAAACAATGACTTACTGGTGACGTTAAGAGTCAATTTTTGACGATAAAAATGAACAGATGATGTCTTTTTGAGGGGGGGGGCAGTCTCGAATTTAAGAAACAAGATCTTTATCAGATGATAAACAGATACAGTAAATCTCTGGCATTTTAGATTTATGCAAGGAATAACTTTCCATGACAATGATTGACATACGAGTGGGCGATCCGTCGCGTGGCATAGGATCACCCAAGTTTTTTTTTTTTTTTAAAAAAAAACAAAAATCGGATGTCTAAATCTCAATTTCTTTTTATCAGCATGAAATTGTTTAAAAAGCATTGTAAATAGTCTACAGCCAATTCTAACCTCTTTGAGACGATAAACGCCTCTATAGTTCACTGTTGGACAGAAATTAGCCGAAATGATAAGGAAAAAAAGAATGGCTGAGTCTTAGTTTAGCCAGCGAGAGAAAAAAAAGAAAATGCATGAATGTTATAAATGTTTAGTTTGGGACGCGCACTGAAGGTTTTAATCTGAAAATAGAAAAAAATATAACTAAAAAAGCTATTTTTAAAATATAAAAGGGGGAGTCAGATTTTTTACGGTGGCAAAGTGTACACACACACACACACACAAAATGCAAATTTGGCTCAGCCCAAAGTAATTTTTTTTTTTGTTATATCGCCTGTGGTTACTTTTTTTTTTTTTTTTTAGTCTGGTTATTAAATACGAGAAGGATGCTAAAAAAAAATGTCAAAATCTTTACTCAGCAAAATGATGTAATACACGGGCAATGAAAAAAAAACAGAAAAAATTGCGGGGGGGATGAAGGGTAAAAACGTGGATAAACAAAAAGGTGATACATATCTTTGCAGCATCTCCAACAATGAAGCACATCCCCCACAAGCCGAGGGAAGAAGTTTAATTGGTTCATGACAAAAAGGTGGCAGATGACTGGGTGGATGCAAAATCATGACGCCATTGCTACACACATAAATTTATAAGCAAAAAGAAAAAAAAAAGAAATGTTTGTTCTACAAGGTAGGGACTCATTGATAAATGTTTATATTAAGTTTGGGGAAGAGGAGAAACTTTTTTGACGACAAGAAATTCTTTTTTTTTAATAATCTGCAACACCTTGATTATTTATTATTTTTAGGGTTAAAGTTCCGCTCGCTAATTTTTTATAAATGTTTGTCTCCCCCATTCATTTCGGATGCTTCTCTTTCTTCTTTCAATAACTTTTTTTCTTATTTATTGGCCACAACAACAACAACAAAAGATATGGCAGATCTATTTAAAGCAAAAGAACGTGAATTTTACATTGAATTGAATCAAGAGAAATACTTTTTCCCTGGCGATACTATCTCGGGTAAAAGGGATAGCTTTTTGTTTTATGAAAAAAAGAGACTAATAGTAAATATGCCCTTAGGTGATGTTGTGCTCAATTTAACAAAGGGGACAAAGATTAATAACATCAAGGTGACGCTGGACGGTACAGTTGATTTAGGAGGAAGAAGTATATCCTTGTTTTCCAAGTTTACTATCATTGCTCAATCACCGGATGGAGACAAGGCACATCATCTTGATGCGTATACCCATCGATTTCCCTTCAAAATTACTATTCCCACCTCAGACAAGTATAATGTCCCAAGTACACTGGAAGTAAGTAATGAAAGGGGATGGTTCTTGTTTTTATTATTAAACCCCCACATGTTATTTTTTTTGTAGATTTCCAAACTCGTGGAAGTCAGCTATCGAATCACAGCAACATTGATCAAACCATTTGTTTTTGGAAGATACAGCGCACAGGCCATTGCTCCTATCACCGTTTTAGAAAACATTAATGTGGAGTCTGAAGATTATCACGGTGATATATTTGTAGAAAAGGAATTGTGTTTATTTGGAACAGAGGATCCTGTAAAGGTTTCTACCAACATTGGAAAACGTGCAGCTGTAAAAGGTACATACATAATTCTTTAAGGGGCAGGACTTAACACTAACATGGACTCTCTTATAAAAAAAAAGGTGATGTGATTCCAATCTATGTCACAGTCAAGCATATTGGTGTGATGGTTCGTGACAAGGCTATTTCAGTTCAATTATTACGATCCGTGTATTACGGCAAAAACAAGTAAAAAAGAAAAAAAAAAAGGGCAGTGTGTGACAGAATAGTGTATTAATAGCCTACATTTTGTATCACCCTTTTTAGCTCCGAATTATATGGACCCAAAGTGTTGAAAGAAGTAACAGCAAACATTGAGATATCTGGACCTGTCAGTTTCAGCAAGACATTTGCGTTAAAATTAGCGATTCCAAAGAACACATGTCCTACCGTAGATAAATCAGGTCAAGCATTTAAGATTGAATACACGTTACGTGTGTCGGTGAATTTAAATGAGGAAAATCCATATCGTCAAGAAATACCTCAAGATATTGTTCTTTTCAATGTACCCTTTACAATTGGTACCTATCCTAAACTCTCTTTTAATATCGACGACGATGATGAATCAGACGAGGATGAGTATATTCCACCTATCAGTGATAGTGCATCCAACCATTCTTCTGAATTAAATGAAGTCACAAAGACAATGCAAGACATGGATTTAAGTGAAGTCAGTTCACCCATCCTTCAACAAGATGCGATTACACCACTTCCACCTCTTTCTCCATCTTCGAAACCCACCTATGTGGCTCCCCTAATGAAATCTCCTCCTAGACCCATCTCTGTGAATCAAGGTATCTATAAGCCAAACGCACCTTCACCCATCGCAGTAGAGAAGCACGAACATGACCATCAACCGACAGAAAACGACCTGGCAACGAAGCCATTACCTCTTATAGCTGAATCTCCCATCTGTAATGAGGAGGAGGAGGAGGAAGGTAGGACGACTGTCACACCACCTCCTGAAGATGCTACCACCGGGGTGACACCACCTTCTCCTTTTATTATAAAACCTGCTGGGATCAGTCCCTCTGACATCTTTAATGATTATAATCCTGGATTATCACCGACTATTTCACCTGTGCAAGGACCTGATAGTTTAAACAGTATGCCAGCCACTGCAGCAGCACCTGGATTAGGAAGAAACAAATCGTTTCATCTGATAGTTCGTAATAATAATCAGGAGATATCGACTGTGCCACCCGAAACAACCCATTACGGAGGCAGTTTACCTAATAATACGGGATTTATTCCTCGACCCACGTCGTCTAACGGACATTATACCACTTCACCACCTCAACCAAGCCCATCCACTAGTAGTCATACCCATGGTGGATTTGCAGCCGCTCAAATGCCTTTTGGATATCCTCCCCAACCTACCCCCTCCATGAGTAATCATACCCAACATGGATTTCCACCTCAACCCACACCTTCTGTGAGTACTGGCTACAATGGGTATCCATCTCGACCACCACCTCAACAACAAAACTATCCTCCTTACCATCATACAGGAGGGTATCCTTATACACAACCTGGGTTTGGTGGAGGGATGCCAGAGCCTCAAATGAATTATCCATTTGGGGGACCCATCCATACCATGCCTATGCCACAATTTGGTGGAATGCCATCACAGTCATCTGGGTATCCACGTCCACCTTCATCCTATCCCTACCATCGTAATTAAAGAAAGTATACCTCCCCCCCCCTCCCTCATTTTAGAAATATTTTGTACATTTTAACAAAAAAATAAAGCACACACACACACACACACACACTTTAAACATTTGTATCTGACGCTGAGTAAAAAAGAGGTTTCAACCCCCCTTCCCCAAGGTGAACATGGATGACTGTTACCCGTTTTTTTGTTTGTGTTTATATCATGAAAGAAGTGTCAAGATAAAATATAAAAAAATGCTTGGCGTACATAAGAAAAGTTACATCATATTGTATATCCTGCAAATAGGTATGACAGGAAAAAGATATCCCCAGGTTACGCGAGGTGAACAATGACGAAAAAAAGAGAAACCCTGTGACTTTTATTTTTTGGAACAAAAAGGGTTTTTCTGTTTCATTCTTTCACTCTTTTTTATTCTTTTTTTTTTTGTTTTCAAAAGATAGATATATAAAAAAAAACATGGGTATTAAAATTAATTCACCATTACCTTCCAGTTTAGCTTGTAGGTCAAAAGACGTCCATGCAACTATGTAAGGGTATACTAACTCTATCTTAGCTGAATGTAGGAAAGCTTCACGCATATTGAACAGTTTCACAGGTAAAACAAAAAAAGAATTCGAAAAAAGGGAGTGTAGTTTTAAAAAATATTAATAAAATTGGGATGGGTGGAAATGATATAGATAATGGCAAAGGTGTGGATATTATGATTCCTCCTCATATACTCTATCATGCCAAGGGATTAGCTATTTTCACTGTATTAAAAGCAGGATTTCTATTCTCGGGTCGTGCTGGTTCAGGACTTGTAGTTGCAAAGTAAGGTTTATTTTTTTTTCTTGGCAATAAAAGTAAACGAACTGACTCTGTGTGTAATATTAGATTATCAGATGGCAGTAAGTTTTTTTTTTATATATATAGGTGTATGTGTGAAACCCGAATTATTTATTAAGAAATGATGTCATGGTAAAACAGGTTGGTCTGCTCCCTCTGCTATTATGACAGGTGGTATGGGATTTGGTGGTCAAGTCGGTGCTGAATTAACCGATTTTATTATGGTTTTAAATACAACCTCCGCTGTCAAGACATTCATGCACCATGGCTCCATTACCCTAGGTGGCAACATTTCAGGTAAAATACACTTTTTTTATAGATGGTAGATCCTTTCTTTTCTTTTTTTTAATAACACATGACACAGTGGCGGCTGGACCTGTGGGTAGAAATGCAGAAGCTTCGGGTACAGCGTCCTTGAAAAGTGTAGCAGCCGTGTATTCGTATAGTAAAACCAGAGGTTTATTTGCGGGTGTGTCATTGGAAGGGTCCGTGATATTCGAACGTTTTGATGCCAATAAGAAAATGTATGGTTGTAAAGTGAAGGCCAGAGATTTATTAAATGGTTCGATTCCACCACCTCCAGCAGCATCGGAACTCTATCGAGCGTTAGAGGTAAAGACAACCATGACAGGAGCTAGAGATTTCAATCGATTCGATGAGTCACGTAGTAGTCTTTCAACTACGGATTCACAACCAAGGTCCTTTAGTCGAGCTGCTATTCATAGTATGGCCAAAGGAGGAGGAGGAGGTGGAATGGGTACGGTTGGTGGTGGTAGTTTAGCTTTGACGTCGCATGGGTCTGATTATGATCCACCATGGACCCCATCAGAGAGCACAGAAAGTTCACTGGTGCTAAGTAGAACAGAAGTCCCTAGAGCACGCGCCTTGTTTAATTTTACGGGCGAACAGGAAGGAGACCTGGTATTTCATAAGGGTGATATCATTACCATTACTAAAAAGACAGATACACAAAATGATTGGTGGACTGGCAAATTGAATGATCGAGAAGGCATTGTAAGTGTAACAGTGAGAAGAAGAAGAAAAAAAGAATTAAATATGTTGTCATTTTTTTTTAGTTTCCAGCCAATTTTGTTCAAATGGTAGTGTAAAAAAAAAACCCCTTTTATGATGTGCAACATAATGTTTGTTGTTTACGTGTACAATCTTCATCTCCGCTCTCTCTCTCCTCCCCCCCCTTTTCTTCCCCGTCTTATTTTAATTGTTAATAATAAAAAAAAAATACCTCTCTCTTTTTTTTTTTTTTTTTTTTTTCTTCTCTTTCCTGCAAAAAAAATAAAAATAAAAAAATATTTATACACCCATGAGCTCTGAAAGTGATTTTGATATGGTAATGAGCTTGCTTGAATGAAAGGGGAATAGAGATTAACACCTGCTTTTTTATCTTTTACAGTACGAGGAGGAGTCTGAGTTTGGTAGTTCCATGAGTGGTAAAAAAATAAAAAAAAATAAAAAAAAATAAAAAAAGAAAGAGAAAAAAAAGCAGGTTGCTAATGTTGGGCCATCCGTTTTGATTAGGAAGTGGATATAACAGTAATGACGAAGGCATGGAAGACTTTGATCCCGATACCAAACCAAAAGCATACCAAGTTGAATACAACGTCTTGAGCTGTAACCATTTAAAGAGTAAACAAGACAAGGAAGTATCTCAAGTGTCCATCATTCTAGGTAAGTAGGAGGAGGAGAAGCAGGAATTTGGATGAAAAACAAAAAAAAAATTAATATGTACAAATTAGGATTGTCGACAGAAGATGCAGCGACTTTACTACGCTATTTTCGTTGGAATAAGGAAAAATTATTCGAACAATACATGGAATCCTCTGAAAAGGTATTGAGACAAGCCGGTGTTTCCTCTGTTTCGAATTTAAGGCATGCTTTAGTATTGGCTAGAGATGTGGGAGGTGATTTCATGTGTGAGATATGCTGTGACGACTCACCCGACATGGAAACCATCAGTATATCCTGTGGACATCGATTCTGTAAGAAATGTTACACGCATTACATTAACCAGAAAATAAGAGAAGAAGGAGAAAGTAGAAGAATACAATGTCCAGAAAATAATTGTCCAGTCATCGTTGATGAAAAGACCGTGGCATTGTTGGTCGATAACGAAACAAACCTCAAATACCATGAATTGTTAAATAGAACATTTGTGGATGACAATGATTTCCTAAGATGGTGTCCTGCCCCAGACTGTGAATACGCCATCGAATGTACTGTACCAAGTACCTCTTTAAATTCAATCGTACCAACTGTCCAATGTTTATGTCATTGTAGATTTTGCTTTGGATGTGGTTTGGATGATCATCAACCCTGTATCTGTATACTCGTTAAAAAATGGTTACAGAAATGTGAGGATGATTCAGAGACAGCAAACTGGATTTCAGCCCATACAAAAGAATGTCCTAAATGTCACTCCACTATCGAAAAGAATGGTGGTTGTAACCACATGACCTGTAGAAAGTGTAGATACGAGTTTTGTTGGGTCTGTATGGGTCCTTGGTCAGAGCATGGTACTTCTTGGTACACATGTAATAGATATGATGAAAAGAGTAGTGAAAATGCAAGAGATAATCAAACACAGTCAAGAGCAAGTTTAGAGAGATATCTGCATTACTACAATAGATATGCAAATCATGAACAATCAGCCAAATTAGATCAAGACCTCTATCAAAAGACAGAAAAGAAGATGGAGGAAATGCAACAGACAAGTGATCTGTCATGGATTGAAGTACAATTTCTTAAAAAGGCAGTGGATGTAACCGTTCAAAGTAGAACTACACTCAAGTGGACTTACGCCTTTGCCTTTTATCTTGACAGAACCAACGAAACAGAGCTATTTGAGGTACAGTCCTATCTCATTTCTTTTTTATCCTCTCAATCTTAAACATTCTCTCTTCCTTTTTTTTTGTAAATATCACAGGATAACCAGCGTGACTTGGAAATGGCCACAGAACAATTATCAGAACTCTTGGAAAAACCTTTAGAACCACAAAAGATTGCTGAATTAAGACAGGCTGTATTAGATAAGACGGTCTATGTTAAATTAAGAAGAGAAATTTTGTTAGAAGACACTGCAAAGGGTCTACAAGACGGAAGATGGAAGTTTTTCGTTGATTTAAAATAAAAAAAAAAATACATTACAGTGTGACTCTCTTTTTTTATAGCCCCTCCTCCTCTCTCTCTCCCCCCCCCCTTCCCAGCCCACCAATGAGTTTTAATACCCTCTCCCTTTTTTTTGCGCCTTTTTCTTTTTTTTCTTTGCAGATAATGATACCACGCTCTGGTAAAGTTATGGGTCAGTTTGCTCGTTTCTCTTCTAAATCAAGAATGCAATATGCTATCAAAAACGAAAATTCAAGCAATAAATCAACGTAAGCTTTCCTTTTCTTTTCCTTACCTATCTTAACACTCCCCTTTATAACTTATTGCCTTAGATCGCTTCATAAACAGTTGAAAGACGATGCATCATCCAAAAATTATTCATTCATTCCATATGCATCACCCTCTCAACATAAACCTTCCTCAGTCACAAGTAGTCGTAGTACTCAATCTTCCTCAGTGGGAAGCAGTCGAAGTGCTCAATCTTCTTCAGTCGTAGTACAACCTGCCTCCAACCCATTTAACACCACCACTACCACCACCAACACCACCACCAACAACACGAACACGATGACCAAGGAAGAAGAGAAACTATTATTAAAAAAGGAACGGGAGCGACAAGCGATAGCCCGAACTGAAAACAATGCACGATTTAAGGAATACCTGTTACGATTACCACCTCTGAGTTATCCTAGTCATTACAAGGTCGACTGTGTGTCTACGTTAGAGGAAACCAACAAAAAATTAGCACAGCTCTTGAAAAACAACAAGGAGAAAGTGTTTGGTGTTGATCTTGAATGGCCACCTTGTTTTGTCAAGGGACAAGTAGAGAATAAAGTGACGCTTGTACAAATTTGTTCTGCAGATAGTATCTTGTTAATTCAAGTGGCACGTATACAAGGCGGTAAGATAATATACACACACACACACACGGTTGATGATGAGGATAGTCTGGAAAAATTGATGATTTAAAATTTAGGATTCCCACCCCAGTTACGCCAGTTCTTTGAAGATAAGACGATTTTAAAAAGCGGTGTGAATATTGGTGCAGACGGTCTTAAATTACATCGCGATTTCGGTTTTATCACCAATGGGCTTTTGGAACTGCGTGATCTAGCGGAAATGACTAAATCCCCAAAGTTGGAATTTTCCCACTTGAGATCTCTACGCGCTTTAACGGGTCTTTTTGTAAGGAAGTCCAACCACAAAAAAAAAAAGAGAATTATATTCATTCGAAACTGACATTTCTATTTATTATAGCTGGAGCAGAATATGGCAAAGGGAAAGGTTCGTTTAAGCAATTGGGCTGTGTCTAAATTATCTCCTTTACAAATCAAATATGCTGCACTGGATGCCTATGTAAGATGTTGACCTCGTCCTCTTTTGGTTCTTTCACCCTCTAACACTCTCTCTCTATATATATATATAGGCATCTTATCAATTGTATGTGGTATTGAACGAATTGAAGGATACCAGTAAATCAATACATATAAGGCATCTGGTAAATGAAGGTGTGTCTGAGGCAAATCAGGTAAAAAAGACCAAGAATGGACAACAACAAAAACCAGCTTCCAAGGTAATAAATAAAAAATCATGCTTTTTTTTTTTCTTTTTCTCTGATGTTTTTCTATTTAAGCAGCAGATAGGCCACCTTTCGGGTCCTTCATCCACTGTTACTATCGTAAAGAAGAAGCAATAGAAGAAGAAGAAGAAAAATTGACAAAAGACTTTTTTGGTGTACATAACATTTCCTCTCTCTCCCCTTGTGAATATTATATAATAGTTCTTTGATTTTTTTTGCTTTTTTTTTCTTTTTTTTTTTTTTTCTTTTTTTTAAAAAAAATAATTTTTTTAACTATACACACACACACACACACAAAACACACACACACACACACACGTACACTACCCATGAGAACACACTGATGGGAATAAATACATAAAATGTTCTGAGAATACATTTTAAAAATCAAATTTCCCCCTCCCCTCCTCATTTAGGCAAAATGTCACTTTTTTTCTCGTGTCACCCCACAGATTTTCATTTTAAAAAATATATGAACTTATATATCCCATTGCTCTTTGTCTGCTATACTAAACTGATAGCGTATCATACCCATACAGCATACAGCAACCTTTTTTTTTTTTTGTAAATAAAGATAGACGCACTCTATCCAATTTTAAAAAGATTGCATGAAAGATATCACTTGTACAACATTCAGCTTTTTGAAAGAGTCACATGCTTATTACTTCACCCACATTTGTTACTTTTCATCTTACATAGTGTGTAATTGCTCTTTTAAATACTTTTGGCGGGAAAAAATCTCCCGGAAGTAAATCACAACAAGTCATAGAAAGTGAGGATGAAGGTCATCCAACTTTATGATTTGTTGTGGTATTGTACTTTTATTCTGCATAATCAGCATAGAGATATATCTTATGTAGACACTCCTGCAACAATCTTGGCTGGGACCCATAGATAATGAGATTGTAGCTTGATAACGCTTTGACCAAAGCAAAAAAAAAAAAAAAAAAAAAAAAAAAAAAAACCTGGTCTTAATAAGCCAAAGACTTTCGGATCAAATAGGGAGAGCTCATATTCAGAGTTCAATTTTCATTAATATCTTTCAAAATGACATTGATCTTTTTATCTAAAATGGATCTGTTTAAGTTGAAAGCTCCAAATCATTGTCGAAACACTTCTTCGTTTAGATATGTTTTGTTAATAAAAGCCTTTGATTCGAGTTCGCCACTAAAAAGAGAGAAAAAAAAATGTCGCCAGTCATTTTGTAAGAAACCATTTGATTTGTACATGGCAGTTACTTCATTTCTCACAAAGTGTACAATATCAGTTAAGGGTATAACATTCATAAAAATAGTTGTAATTGGATGCCGCTGTGTACGTATTTTTTTTTATTATTATTTTTCTCCTCAAACTAGTAGGTTGTTGTGAGTAGGAACAACTTATTTTTTATCAACATTTCATCATTTTTTAGTATGTGGATTCATATTTATAATAGCACTAATCTGTCTTACAAGCGAATCGCAGGACTGTCAAAGGATATATAAATAGCTCACTTTGGCTTATCGGCTAAAACACTATTGCCTGTAACACAAAAGGTATGTCTATAATCAAGTTTTTGGCGCAAAAGAAAACACGCAGAATTAGAGAGGGGTATATTTTTCATTCAATGTGGTTCTTTGTTGTAAAATAACACGGTAATCACTTGAACCTTAGTGATTAGCAGCCGGTACAATCCAACACTAAATTTCAATTTGTTCTTACAGTATAAACATATCGTTGATCAAATGGGGACGAGTTCCGATCTTTTTGATACACAAATGAAATTCGTGGAACCAGGCTATTCTTTTCCGTTGATATTCTCCTTTTGTATTTTTTCTTTTTCTTTTTCTTTTCTTTTTCTTTTCTTTTTCTTTTTTTACTTTGACAGTGAGATGGAAGAGTATTATGATTTTTGTCAACGCGCTTTTTGCATTTTTTTTTGTAAGTGAAAAAAAAAAACATTTCATAAAAAATTACAGTTACTTAGCCAAAATAGGCATTCTCGAAAATGGAATGAGAATGCGTCTATTTCCTACAGGCATTAGAGAAGGACAATTATTACAACGTAAATTAGTGTGAGTATACATTTTTTTTTTTATGAAATGGATCGACGTTTCAAATTGTATTTAATTGTTCAATGAAACAAATTATTATATCAGTGATATAAGCTCTTCTATATTATACGATATTCAAAGTGAACTTATATTGCAGTACGGAACTGAGGCTGATGAAAATAGACAGTCTGCCGAAACAAATCACTCGATTTTTTACGTCAATAACGTATTTATAAAATTAGACGAAATTTATCAAAAGATGCAGGAAAACGACACTGATGTACATGATCAAATCATTTTACAGGGAGCGGAAATCATTTTACGAAATTTAAACCGCTCATATTCTCAATTTTTCATAAACAGTAAACTAAACAAATCTAATTCAGATTGCGACTTTCTTTTTGTTGTACCGACACGGTGGAACGATGGCATAAAAGAAGATCTACTTCGTCCCCTTTACATTCGCGCTGGTCTCATCCAAAAACAAGATCACCCTGACAGATTGTTGTTCTCCAGTCAGCTGGATTTGGATTTTTGTTATCTTCAATACCTAGACTACGTACCTTCTGCAAGAATGAATACAAAGATCAGAAATGGTAGACATTACATCTTGTATGCATTCAACTTTAGTAACACCCACTTGTCTATCACATTGGATCTATTTTCTGCTCAATACCCTCCGGGATTAACAACCAAGGGTAAATATGTCCCGCGAGTTTTGAACTCGGTTTATTTCACTGTGCCATTACCCAGTTATGTACAAGAGAGCCATATTGATTGGGACAGTATGGATCAACCGTCGAGTTTAAATACAATAAACAATGATGAATGGGATCAATCCGGAAGTGATGAACTGGTAGATGATGACAGATCTATAGATACTCAGGAATCTGTAAACAGTGAGCTAATGAAGACAGAAGGAGTCTATAAAAAGACCCTAATGTCCATCCAGACCCAACTTTTGCGTGAAACACAAAACTTGGCAAAGTACAACAGCGGTACAAAATACACCGCTATCGTCATAACAAATTTAGGGGAATATGTAGAGGAAAATTGTAACCTGTTTCATTCATCAATTCACTGGATTAAAAAGATAAGTGAGGATCTGTTTGGCAGCACATCAATGACTTTTGGGCGCTATGCTGACCTATATCACCAAGTTCGAGATCTCAATGCTTTTAACGGAGGAAATCAAGTGCTCGGGAAATACGTAGAAAAGTCGAATAGTACCAGACCTCCTTTAATTATAACTGAGAATATCAAGAGCCATAAAGCTTTGTCGGCCTCTTTATTTAAACACTTAAAACCAAATTGCATCATAAATATTGGTACTTTAAAATACAAGTATATACGACTGACAGAAAAAAAACTTACCTTACTTTTGTGAAAACAGACGTGTTATCCAAAGAAATAATGTTTAATTGTGCGGTTTTAAAAAGCAGTGGGGAGACAGAGATGCTGACTGATTACAATGAATGGTAGTAGGATAATCTAAACTATTTAAATGACGTATATGACTGGCTAACCATACGCCTTATACAAATAGCGGAATTTGCCCACTGGATACTTTTTTCCAACAATCAAGCATCTATGCAAAACCTGTACTTCAACTTACTAAGAGGTAAGTATTTGTTTAGTAGTGCTCAAAACTATAGTTACTTAAAATCGCTTGTACAGGTTCGTATCTTTTATGGAAACGAATTTTAAGGATGTAATGGATATTTCTTTCAACCATGACGAGCAAACGATAAGAGACAATTGTAATATGTATGCTATTAAAGAATTAAAGACCCCACCGAGCATCCGAACTAGGTAAAAACTTTAAACACATGGCAACTCATATTGAAAGTGACTAAATGATTATTATTACAGATTAAAAACTTTCGCAAAAAAGCAGTTTCGCAGCAAGAAGAGAGTGCAGATAAACACTAGCCAACAGCTTAACCGGAAAACGTATACGGCTGCAATGAAAGATGCGAGTTTACAAATTGACAGCTATGTTGCCAAGGGTGTTCTGGATGAGTTTTTTGCGTGTAAAAAGCAAAGAAACAGGCTTCTTATTAAAGACGAACCATTCCTACTTGTTCGCCAGAAAAAATACATCCACCTTTTTCTCATCATGTATTTCGCTTACCTCAACAAACTGATTAACGAAAAGTTGCCCACAATTCTGGGTAATCAGTGGAAAAACAGAAATATTGGATATAATGTGTTCATAGAAAAGGTGCTTCTGGAAAATGTCTTTGGATCTATAAAAGAAAATTTTTTGATTGAAAGTAGTTTACTTTTCAACACAGACGACTTTAAGAAAGTACGTTTTTCAACACGTGGAGAAGGAATACTACCCTCAATTCAAAATAAGCTCAATTTGGAGCTTCCTCTTCAAACGTATTTTGTCACAGCCCAGCTACATTTATCATATATACAAGTTACCCTGCATAAGGTTGTTAGAGTCACGTCTCTTTCAGAATACGCATCCACTATTATTGTTCGTGATAAAGTTTTACAGATCGAAAATGTGGTCGACTCGATATGCAAATATATCTGGGAGCATACTAAAAGCAATGGTATAACCAATCGCTGTAGTTCTATGGACATGGCCGAATGCTCTCAATGTGATATATTTTCGCTAAAAAAGTTGAGTGATGTTATGGAAAAGTTAAAAGCTTACATTTCAGAAATTGTAAGTTTATTTAAATCAAAGATGATCACAGCGTAACCTTCCCCTCTACAATCATCCTTTTTTATTTAGTTCGCATCAAGCAGAAATGAATTGATTATGGATGAACAAAAGTGTGTAAAAATTAGTAGAACGTGTGAATGTCATATTCAGATGTCTCTCCGTGATACCATTGATATCGGAATAAAGCCAGCAATACAAAAGCTTACAGATACAGTAGCAGCATCACTAGTGAGTACCAAACTATTTGGAAACTATGAAATAGATCATGCATTTATTTTTGAAGAACTATTTGGGTTACCTTATGATACTCCACTTGGGATGGCTTACATAAAGGTTGTACAAGAATCCCTTGATAACAGTATTGAATTGAAAGAAAAAGACACGCAAGGTTATTTTCTAAAAGAAAGCGTGTATCAAATATTGAAACCCATCAAAGGAACCAAACCGTACATGTATGATACTTTTATTAAGGGTGATTTGCAGCAAGTGTCAAGCAAAACGTATGCGCTATATGTTAAACCTAACATTCCCGAAGAGTGTGGACATGTCTCTCTAACATGGAAACACCTCAAGGATGGTACAACAGTTACAGTAAAGAGGGATGGCTCAGCCATAATCATAATTGAAAAGGGCCAGAGGATTCCAAACACAGGAGTATTTGTACATTTTGATATTGAAGTAAAAAAAAACCCCCCCTATGATTTTACTGATGGCGATATTGAACTAAGTAAGTGGATTCTGTAAGATTTAAGCAATGATGTATTTATATATAATCTTCTTATATTCAGGGATGATCAGGATTACTTCCGCCGTAAACACCGCATTAGATCAAAGTGTTCGATTAGACGCGATCTCTTACGATGAATTAACTTCGTTTACATTCAATTATCGGGGACATATTCCTCCTGTTACTTTAAAAATTGACCCTGTTAGTTTCAACTCTTCACTTTATTTTTCGATCGATAGTACCTTTTGTGTGGAGTATGAACTATTTGATTTGATTCCGGATGTAACCTCCGAAGAGCGTTTGACATTGGCTTACTTTTAAACAATAAAAGCCTGGTAAATGACAGTTCAATAAATTTTACAGTGTGTAACAATCATATTGTACAACGAAAATAATTTTTTATTTTTTACAGGCTTTGCTGCTTATTATTTTATGAATATGTCACTGTTTTATTAATAATCCTAACATGCATTTTAAGAACTATTACTAGTGTCTTAGCATTGCTATCCTTCGATATGACATTAATATTATCTAAAATAAATATGTCCAAGCTGAAAGCTTCAATAATCCTTGCCGAAATACCTTTTCGTTTAGATATACTTTGTTAATAAAAGCCCTTGATTTACGTTTGTTACTAAAAAGAAAGAAATTGTCGTCAGTCATTTTGTAAGAAATCATTTAATTTGTACTTCTCACAGACTGTACAATACTATTTTAGGCTATAATATATTCACGAGGATATATAAACTTGTGATGTGATGCCATTTTTTCGCATTTTTTTTTAAATGATAGCTCTGAACTATTACGTTTTTCTGTTGGGAGCGAGTTGCAGGAGTGTCGAAGAAAGATACTTCTTAGTCAAAAAAGGGAAAAAATTTAAACCATAAAATGAGATTATAGCTCATATGAACAGGCCACTTTGGCTTATAGAAAAAGATTCGTCGGCTACAAACTTGTATTGTCTGTAACACAAAGGTTTGCCTATATATTTTTTTTTTGTAGTTGTCTACAAAAAATTTTGAACTGGTTTGTCTATTTTAAAACTTGCATTTGGTGCGAAAGAAAACCCGGAAGATGGGAGAGGGGAATATTTTTCATTGAATGTGGGGTTTTGTTAAAAACTAACACAGTAATAATTTAAATCTCAGTGATTAGCCGATGCGATTATGTACTAAATGCCAATAGTATGCAATCTCGCGCCGATTAGATCGTCCTTTGAGTTGAAGTTTTTTAATCTAGGTATACAGGGTAAAAAAAGGGTGATATACCTAGTATGCATTTGCTCTTACAGTACAAACATGTGTAGAGACTTTGGTCGATCAAATGGGGACGAGTTCCGATCTTTTTGATACACAAATGAAATTCGTGAAACCTGGCTATTCTTTTCAGTTTCTTTTCGGTTCCTTTTCTTTCTTTCTTTTTTCTTCCTTTCATTTTTACAGTGAGATGGAGGAGTATTATGATTTTTGTCAACATGCTTTTTGCATTGCTTTTTGTAAGTGAAAGAAAAAAAATGGTTCGTAAGAATTACAGTTACTTAGCCAAAATAGGGGTTAATGAAGAAGGAATGAAAATGCGCTTAATTTCTACAACTATTAGAGAAGGATATCCGATATACACTGGATCAGTGTAAGTAAACATTTTAATGAACTGGATTGAAGTTTCAAAATGTGTTTAATTGTTCAATGAAACAAATTATTATACAGTCATATAAGCTCTTCTATATTATACGATATCAAAAGTGAACTTATCTTGCATTACGGAACTGAAGCTGATGAAAATAGACATTCTGCCGAAGCAAATGACTCGATTTTTTACGTTAATAACGTATTTATAAGATTAGATGAAATTTATCAAAAGATGCAGGAAAACGACAATGACGTGCATAATCGAATCATATTACGGGGAGCGGAAATCACCTTACGAAATTTAAAACGCTCATACTCTCAATTTTTCGGAAACGGTAGACTAAGCAGGTCATACTCGGATTACAACTTTCTTTTTGTTGTTCCGACACGGTGGAACAATGGCATACAAGAAGATCTACTTCGCCCCCTTTACATTCGTGCTGGTCTCACCCAAAAACAAGATCACCCCGACAGATTGCTGTTCTCCAGTCAGCTGGATTTGGATTTTTGTTATCTTCAGTACCTAGAGGACGACATGCCTACTTACAGTATGAATACAAAGATTGGAAATGGCAAACATTATATATTGTATGCTTTCAACTTTAGTGACACGATCCTATCTGTCACACTTGATTTATTTTCTGCTCACTATTCCCCTGTATTAACAACCAAGGGTAAATATGTCACGCGAGTTTTAAATTCGGTTTATTTCACTGTGCCGTTATCCGATGATGTGCAAGAGGGCTATATTGATTCAGAACGAATTGATCAATTATCTAACGCAAATAAAAGAAGCGAAGATGAATGGGAGCAATCCGAAAGTGTTGGATTGGTAGACGATGATGGATCTATAGATACTCAAGAATCGATAGACACGGAAGATGCGTCCTTGAATACTTATGGGCTAGTAAATTCAGAAGAACTTTTTGAAAGCCCACTAATGTCTATTATTCAAAACCGACTTTTACGTGAAATAAGAAACTTGACAAGTTACAAAGTCGGCACAGAGTACACAGCCATCATCATAGGAAATGTAGCGGAGTACCAAGAGGAAAAATATAGCTTGTTTGATTCTTTAAGTCACTGGATAAAGAAGAAAAGTGAGGATCTGTTTGACACCAGATTGATGACTTTTGGGTTTGATGCTAGACTTCATTACGAAGTTACACATCTTGAGACTTTCATTGGGGGTAAGGAAATGCTCAAGAAATACGTAAAAAATTCAAATAGTACCAGACCTCCTTCGATTATAACTGAAAATATCAAGAGCGATGAAGCTTTGTCACCCTCATTATTTAAACAATCAAAACCAAATTCCATCATAAATATTGGTACTAACAAATACAAGTATAATACTAACAACAAAAAAACTGACAATATTTTTGTAAAAACAGACGTGTTATCCAAAGAGATAACGTTTAATTTTGCGGTTTTAAAAAGCGGTGGGGAGACGGAGATGCTGACTGATTACAATGAATGGTAATATAATTATTTACACTATTTAAATGACATTTTTAACTAACTAAATATTATACAAATAGTAACATTTGCCCATTAGATACCTTTTTCCAGCAATCAAGCATAAATGAAAAGACTGTACTTCGACTTACCAAGAGGTACATATTTGTTTAGCAGTACTCAAAACTTTAGTTGTTTAAAATCTCTTGCAATTTTTCATGTACAGGTTGGTATCTTTTATGGAAAAGAATTTTAAGAATATAATGGATATTTCTTTCAACCATGATGAGCAACCTATAAGAAACAATTGTAATATGTATGCTATTAAAAAATTAAAGAACCCACAGAGCATCCAAAATAGGTAACAACTGCAAACACACAACAACATATTGAAAGTGACTGAATTGATTATTATTACAGATTGAAACAATTCGCAAAAAAGCAGTTTCGCAGCAAAGAAAGGTTACAGATAAACACCAGTCAACAGTTAAAGAGACAAAAGTACACGGCTGCGATGAAAGCTGCGAGTTTAAAAATCGAAAGCTATGTCGCCAAGGGTGTTCTGGATGAGTTTTTTGCGTATGAAAAGAAAAGGAACAGGCTTATTATTAAAGACGAACCATTCCTAGTTGTGCGTCAGAAAAAATATGTTCACCTCTTTCTCATCATGTATTTCGCTTACCTCAACAAACTGATTAACGAAAAGTTGCCCACAATTCTGGGTAATCAGTGGAGAAACAGAAATATTGGATATAATGTGTTCATAGAAAAGGTGCTTCTGGAAAATGTCTTTGGATCTATAAAAGATAATTTTTTGATCGAAAGTGGTTTACTTTTCAACACAGACGACCGTAAAAGAGTACGTTTTTCTACTCGAGGAGAAGGAATACTACCCCCAATTCAAAATAAGCTTAATTTGGAGCTTCCTCTCCAAACGTATTTTGTCACAGCCCAGCTACATTTATCATATATACAAGTTACCTTGCATAAAGTTGTTAGGATTACGTCGGTGTCAGATTACGCATCCACTATTATTGTCGGTGATAAGACTTTACGGATCGAAAATGTGGTCGACTCTATATGCAAATATATATGGGAGCATGCCAAAAGCAGTGGTGGCATCAATCGCTGTAGTTCTAGGGACATGAACGAGTGCTCTCAATGTGATATATTTTCGCTAAAAAAGTTAAATGATGTTATGGAAAAGTTAAAAGCTTACATTTCAGAAGTTGTAAGTTTATACAAATCAAAGATTATTACAGCCTAACCTCCCTCCTCTACAATCAAACTTTCTATTTAGTTTGCATCAAGCAACAACAAATTGATTATGGATCACAAAAAAAGCGTAAATATTAGTAGTACGTGTGATTGTTGTATTCAGATGTCCCTTCGTGATACTATTGATATCGGCATAAAGCCAACAATACAAAATCTCACGGATACAATAGCAGCATCCATAGTGAACACCGATCTATTTGGAAACTATGTAATAGATCATGTATTTGTTTTTGAAGAACTATTTGGATTGCCTTATGATACTCCGCTTGGGACGGCTTACATAAAAGTTATACAGGAATCTCTTGATAACAGCATGGAATTGAAAGAAAAAGACACGCAAGGTTATTTCCTAAAAGAAAGCGTGTATCAACTATTAAAACCCATCAAAGGAACCAAACCGTACATGTATGATAGTTTTATCATGGGTGATTTGCAGCAAGTTTCAAGCGAAACGTATGCGTTATATATTGGATCTGATACGTATGAAGAGCATGGTCAAGTCTCTCTAACTTGGAAACACCCGAAGGATGGTACAACAGTTACAGTAAAGGGGGATACCTCAGCCATAGTCATAATTGAAAAGGGCCAGAGGATTCCAAACACAGGAGTATTTGTACATTTTGATATTGAAATCGAAAATGAAAACATAAACGATGATGATGATAATGGTTGTGTAGAATTGAGTAAGTGTATTCTGTATCGTATTTTCGTGATTTAGATAATTATGTATTGATGTAAAACCTTCTTGTATTCAGGGTTGATAAGGATTACTTCCTCCGACGCATTAGATCGAAGTGTTCCGTTGGACGCAATCTCTTATGATGAATTAACTGGGTTTATGAACTTTTTTGGGGCGCATGTTCCTCCTGTTACTCTAAAAATTGACCCCGTTAGTTTCAACTCTTCCCTTTATTTTTCGATAGATAGTACCAGTTGTGTTGAGTATGGACGATGTAGTTTAATTCCGGATATAACCTCAGAAGAGCGTTTAACACTGGCTTACTTCTAAACAATAAAAGCCTGCTAAATGACAGTTCAATAATTGTACGGTGTGACAATCATATAATTCTATGAAAACGATTTTTTATTTTTTACACGCTTTTCTACCAATTATTTTTAAAATATGTCATTATACACCTTTTTTGGGTGCTTACTGATAGCCTATGGTCCAATTCTGTCTATATTTTTTCTCTACATTGCACCCAATGCACAGTATGTTTTACTAATGGTGTCAAGGTAATAAATGGAGAAAGCAGTAGATCTTGTCCCTCATCTAATGCGAAAACAGTGCCTTCTTTTGTTTAATAGCATTGCTACTGTCAAGTGTGATATGGTACTTTGCAAAAGCCACACAAGAGATGCACTTTGTTAGTATAACCTACAGTGTTGCCATTCAAGAACTTTGTCGATGGGGGTTTTATTTATTACTTAATCGAGCCGAAGCGGGATTGAATATCGTCTCTGCCAACCCTAAGTCTCCGTTCAATCGCCCTGTATTTGCTTTTGGTAAGTTTGGAAAAGGAATGGAAGAGTTACTGGACTAATGTATTTCAAACAGTGTCTGGATACGGGTATGCTTTAATGAGCGCACTGGTGGGATACATATCGTTATTAGTAGAATCCATTGGTCCTGGTGTGATGATGTGTCCTTCGTGTCCCAAAGCAACATTATATTTCATTTCGGCTATTACAACCTCTTTATTTTCTTTAATGCATATGAGCTGGATGATGATTTCCTTTGAAGGATTTTCAGAATTACCAAAGACAAAAGGATGGTTGAAAGTGATATGGGTGATTGTCTCACATTATGGTGCTTCCTTTGCGGTAAGTGTACTTTGATCATGATCGCCTGTAGCTATATATTTAACATAATTTTACAATAGACTACTTTGAATTCGTCTACTACAGTCAGTAATGGATGCATTTACTCCATCATTGTGTGTCTGTGTATTATTGCTGTCTCCGGTTATATAGTTGCCCTTTCTCTCAAGTCAAGATTTAAGCTTTCTCGTTCCCAGCAGTAATATTTTATACCCTCTATTTTATACTATCGATAAATCGTGTACACAGGATTTCTTTATTTTTTTGTCTCTTTCTCCTTCTAGTACTTTTTTTTTGTATATTACACCATAGATGTGAGATTTTATAAGTGTATTTATTTTGTCAAGTAAATAGGGTTTAATCAAGATCGAGATCATCGTCCAAATGAGTGTTTGTGTTTGACGTTGCATTGTTGGATGTGGCTGTGTTTGAGTTGGTGTTTTCATTTGAGTTTGTTGTCGTGCTGGTGTTGGTGTTTGTACTTGTGTTAGTACTGGTTGTGTTTGTATTGGTTGCAGTAGAGGTGCTATTGGATCTAGAGGCATTACCTGTCAAATTATTTATCCAAGAAGGAAATGCAGTCGCTAAATTTACTGGAAAAGAAGTAGGCATACCTTGGTGAGCTGTGCCATTACCCCCACCATTGCCACTTACCCAAGTATATGAGGCTGTACTCCCAGTCGAATTGTTACCATCGTTTGCTTCTCTGGTCTGTTGTGTATTTTGGGTATTATGGTTGTCATTGGTTCCGTTGTTGCTATCGTTATTACTGTTCTGACCGTTGGCTGATTCTTGTTCTGGTAAAACTGAATGACGACTATGATTACAATTTATCAGCACAAAAGTCGTGATATATATATATATATTTAATGATTGATGTTACCAGACAGGACAGGTACTGTTTAACTTCAACCACGGTTTAATGCAGTCATCGTGGAATATATGTTCACAAGGTAACTCGATTACTGTTTCGTGTGATTCGAATTGATCTTTGCAAACAGCACAATCTGCTTCTGATGATTTCTCTTTCTCGGTTAAACTTCTTTTTTTAAGTGCCTCAATAACTTGTTCGGGTGCAGGAGGAGGTGCTGATGCGCTAAAAATAGACATGCTCTTTAGGTTTACACAAAAACTTTGATTATAGTTTATACGCTTACCCTCCAGTCTGTTCCATAAGTTGGGTGATGATATTATCTAGTGCATTCTGAGAGAATACGTAATCATTGGGATTACCATATAATCCAACGTCCAAAGGTGCCCCTGTCATGGCTGATAAGAATTGGAGTATACTAAATGAAAGATAAAATGTCAATTTGATTGTTTTCAAAATTGTAAATATTTACAGTACCCTGCAATGTTATTTCCTCTGGCGCCAGCAGCTCCTGTTCCTGCAGCACCTTCCTCGGTTGAACCTCTTTCATTATTTGCTCCGTCGTTATCACCATCCGTCGGCATTGCGCCTGGCATGGCACCAGGCATACCAGGCATAGGTTGAAATCTCATATTACCATCCACGACACTGCCATAAAACATCATTGGTCTAGTTGGATCTGTGCCTGGCGTTCCCCCTTCAGCTGCCGCGTTGGCCATCTGTCCGTTTATATCAACATTTTGACCCAAAATATTGGTCAGCAGATTTTGTACGATATTACCCAAAGGGGAAGCGTTGTTGGCACCACCACCACCAGTTTCTGTTGATGATCTTTCAGGATCATCCGTTGTGTTATTAGCAGTCGTATTACGAGGAGTGAAATACTGAAATATATCATCTCCCATTTCACCGTTGCTATTACCGTGTACATTATTGAACCTTCCTGTGGAGGGTGAATAAGAGAAAATGTGGGCAGCTCCGCCGTCTGGTAAATGTATGTTTCCTCCTTCCATGTTATGTCCATGGTTATCTGCTCCGGCTAAAAATTCTCGAGGGTCGTCATCCGCTTGGAGCTAAATGAATGGTTCAAGTTTCGATTAATAACATTGGCCCAAGATTTTAATTTTATTATTGACAAACCTCTTCGACAAACTGCCCGTTACATTGTTGACAAGTTGGATCGGGAGCCATATAAATATTGACTTCAGCATTGCAAATATGACACCAGTATCTAGGTTGACCTTGACGTGTTTCTGTACTCATTTTTTTTTTTTTTTACTGATTGTATAAAGAAAGCAAAAGAAAAAAAAGGAATATATTGGGATTGACCTCACTCTGAAGTTTTTGAGACTAGATTTTCAAGTACCGCGTCGAGTCTGATGAGAAGTTTTGATTTCGACTTGACTTGAACATGCTAAAAGCAATATCACTTGTATAAATACTAATTTATTTTTTATTTTATTTTTTTCTTCTTTTTTAATCATTTCCTTCTCTTTTTTTTAAATTTTTTTTTGGCTGATATGAATCCAAACCGTATCACTACATTATTACACTGTGTCCGTCTCACATCTTTAATTACAGCTATAGTTATCGTAATTGGATCCCTTTGTCTATACAGCTCAAATGCTCTTCCCTTGAATATTACAGATGATGGGAAAGAAGATATCAAAACATGGATTCTCCAATCAATTACAGATCGTCGTTTAATATCCACTCTGGTTGCAGCTCAAGCATCTATTTTCTGTCCATTGTTCGTACTACTCAACCCATCCTCATTGTCATCCAAACCTACCGCACAAATAACCGAGCCTACTTCAGCAACCACCTCTTTGGTTGAAATGGTTTGTCAATTATTGATGCCACTTGGGTTGGCACTAAGCTGGATGTTTTCAATTTTATTTGATTTGAAAACAACTGATTTGATTGGACAAGGTGATGTATGTTTATTAGAGGACGTCGGTTGTGTTTTATTTGGTTTTGTTTATGGTTTAAAATATGCCATTGTCATTTTATTCGCCATAGAAACATCGCTAGTTATCTTATTCTTTATCGTCACAAGATTCCATTCTCGTCAAATTCAATTACCAACAGACGAACCAAAGAACTAAAAATAATAATAATAATAAAAAAAAGCAAAAAAAAAAAAAAATTACTTATATAAAATATGTTGTTGTTTGCCAAAGGAATTCATATTTATCCCATTTTTGGAATTTTAAAAAAACTTGTATTTGATTCGGATGATTATTATCAGCATTCCCCCTTTATTTGCCCTCTGCTTTTTAATCAGTCGTATATATTCTTGCTCTTTCATTTTCTATACCTGTAGAATCAAAACAAATAAGACCCGTGATGTTTAGCAATCTTGATTCAACTATCCAACCTGTTAAAACTTGGTATTCTGCTTTGAACAACACTTTGCAGCCAAATAATGCCTCTGGCAATCGTATTGGACCAAACAAAAGATTATCCTTATCCCCATCACTCAAAACAACCAATTCCTCACCTTCCATCACACATATCTTCAAACGTCTGGCAAGGAGTCAATCCATTTTGAAAACAAGTGGTAGTAATACATCATCGGTTAATACCCCGTCTTGGCTATCCATAAAAAAAAGAGGACAACAGGCAGGAGGAAATGAAGGGGTCAAGATTTATATGAAATCTCCGCATGTAGTAGCAAATGGTGAACTCTCAGGCACTGTCGTTATTCAATCGGAAGACATTTTACTACTCGAAGAACTCGAATTGTCATTTATTGGGATAGAAGGTATTTGATATCGAAAACTAATAAACTCTATAAGTGTTCTCGCATATCAACTAAACGTTATCATAGCCGTCATTGATCCACAATCGAGCAGCGTTGCTCATCAATACCAGTTCTTGACGTTGCGGATATTTAGAATCAACTCTCAACAAGAGATTCAGTCACATACTATCGTTTCCGAAAACATGATTTGTATACCTTTTGTGGTCACTTTGGCTCCTCATTTAAGCGGCACTTACAAAGATAAGAAATGCTTTGTCCAATACTGCTTGCAAAGGTGAGTCTAAACGCATAAACTAAAAACTCAACATCATAATGTTAACAGCTTTCAAGTGATATAAAGTCCAATGGCCAAGATGTCATCACGACCAAGAAACAGGTTCTGGTTTACCCTAATGTAGCTTCATTGAAATCACTAAAAGACGCAATCGACCTGTATGTCCCAATTATAGAAAACGATAAACAAGTATGGAAGTCATTGACATCGTCTGTGGCAATGGATTTATCGTTGTCTCGCATAGTTTGGATGTCAGGTGCGCCTATTTATGTAACAGTTAAAATTAATAACTCGACAACGTACACAGTAAGCATATTTGTTTTTTTATATATGTACATTCTACATGGATTCATATTTGTTTTTTAATATAGATTTGTGACATGAAACTCGAGCTATTACGTAAACAGAACACTTACTCTGCAAGTGAGGGAGAAATGCTTATACCCCTGACCTCTTGCTGTGAAATTGTGTCACATACCTCTTTGTCAACTCTAGGTTGGTGGCAACCTTTGAAACCAAACACCAAAGACCATGTCGTTATGACAGTAGAAGCTCCGGTAATTAAAATAGACAACGAAAAAAAAAACCCTTACAGTTTATTTATCCATCAAATATAGCCAAATCAAGTAACCATCCGGAACCAAAAATTAATTGACGTATCATTTTCAATTCGAATGTTGATTTCTTCTCCTCAAAGGTAATATCTAACAATTTAATTTTCATGCTAGTTACTTAATAACTCCGTTTTATTCATGCAGGACTGACGTCGTATCAGAGATTCCGGTAATGTTAGTCCATCCAATCGCTTTAGATCCTCCTCCATTATTGCTGGCCAAACCAAGCACAATCGAATCGACCTTAATTTTATCCGATCCAAATATCAGAAAATCCTTTGCAAAAGCATCCACAAGTTCCTCATCGTGTACGGATTCTTTAACTTCCATCTTGAGTAGCACAAAGCCTATATCCATCTCTTCCATATCCAATCATCGTCATATCAGCCCCGTCTCAAATAATTTAAGCGAACCCAAAGCCTTGGAAAAAATGAAAAACAGTATATCCAGTTGGGGAACCATTCTCTCTCGGAAATTGTCTAGCACCCGTATTACTGCTTTCCAAAATGATCGACCCACCCGTCCCGATATTTCATCACCGATGATTGCGTCTCAATTAACCAGTCATGATTCGGTTGCTTCTTCCATCTATTCGTCGCCATCGTCATCAGGTTCGAAAACAGGAGATCCTTCTAACAAGACATATCGTGAAGAACAGAGAAGCGTCATGAAATTTGGCCAGATTAAAGCACCTAAAAGATTTGGTCAACAACCGGGATGTTTAGGCGATGCAGGTTTAGACATCCGCAACTGCTTTAATGTAGCCACCGCAAACGAGGCAATACAAAGCTATGCAGCTGAGAAAGTAGAAATACCAGATGATATCGCTTTCTATTCTTCCAGTAGTGATGATGAATCAGACGAGGAGAATATCCCTCTAGCAAAGAATTATCTAGACAACCTTTTATCTTATTTAGAACCTATGGAAGTGTTGGAGTTAAAAAAAGGTAAAAATCTAATACGATACACGCTAATCATTCTAACGTCATATTTAGGCATGATGGCACCGAATGAAAAGTGCCAAGTAGAAAACTCCATGCTTGAAAACAGTTATGAACAAGGGAACCATACAAAGAGAATGATAGCTTCCTCTAGACATATATCACGCACACAAAAAAATAATGCCAACTCTTTAAAAAGGGATACTCCAGTACCTTTACCTCCTAGTTCTGTTTTATAATTATCTTTTTCTTCCCACATGAAAAAAAAAATACAAACAAATAAACAGCCCCGGATGGCTAATGTGCCACATTGACTAGTTTAGATTATAGTATAATAATAAAAGAAATAAAAGCGCGTTTTATTTTATTATTTGGATATCATTTTTCTCTTTCACTTCTTTACAAAGCAGTCAATACACCAGCAGGACCAGACTTATCAACGCCAGAATCATCGACACCTACATAGGTGACCTTAAGGTCATCAACAACCAAAGCAAAACGTTGAGAGCGGACACCCATACCAGCCTTTGTCAAGTCCAAGGTCAAACCGAGATGATCAAAGAATCCAGATCCACCCTCGGAGGCCATGATAATTTTATCCTTCACCTTTAAATGTTGTCCAAAGGCATCCATGACAAAACCATCATTAACAGCAACGCAAATGATAAGGTCGGCTCCCTTTTTCTTTAACTCGTCGTACTTTTCCAAGAAGGCAGGGACGTGTTGTTCGGAACAGGTAGGGGTGAAAGCACCAGGAATAGCAAAAATAACTGCCTTCTTACCCTTTAATTCTTTGGAAAGGTCAAATTTGACAGGTGCGGGACAGGCCATAGGGTCACGCTTAGGGTCGTAGGGAACGTAAGTAAGAACATCGTGAGGAAGAGAGTCGCCAACAGAAATAGTCTATGAACCGTGTGAATATATAAATAATGTATTGACTTTTAGTTCTTACTTACCATTTTATCAGTTATTTTTTTTTAATTGTGTGTTAAAAAAAGTTGAAAGAAATAGGAAACACCTACTTTTTTCATCTTTTTATATTTGTACGATTCATGCGGCCTTTTAATAAAATTGACGTAATAAACTCTTATTGAAAAGAAAGCATAAGATACGTAATCACTTTCTACCTTTCTCTCTCACTCACTTACAGAGTTCATTATGTAGGGATTGACAGTTCCCTTGGTTTTTTTTTCAGGTGCTAGTAGATGTCTATAGAAGGTTCTACTTGTAAACCAAGGGCACACGCACCACGGAGATGGGTTTTTTTACAGATAGACTGAGTGTTAATTTTTTATTTTTTTTAAAAAAAGAAAAAAGCTTACTCATATTAAAGGTATCAATTCCATCTCGCATCTAATCAGCATTTTATATGTAGGGATGATGGAAACCATCTGTGCTCTTCGTTTACCTAAATATTTATTAAGGTTTGCATTAATCTTTGTTAGACCGTTGCACAAAGTCCTATTTTATATTTTTCTTAAGGGACCGCCGGAGTGTCCGTAGGGCTCCTGGGATCGGGTTACTGTCCACACCTTTCGTACACATGGGTTTTTAAAACACGCTAAAGGAATATCCGCTTATGATAATAAGCGTACTATTAATACCATCACCTTATGTGACCGTATGTATATCTCACGAGATAAATCCATCGATAATTACCTGTGAGTTCATGATAAAATTCCTAATATGGCAGATTTTGTGACAGTCCATGAATGGACTTGGGACATAGATAAATCAATTTTTTTTTTCAGATGGAGCCATACACTGATGTTTGGTGTGCATATCCTTTAAAGCGGGTCCTTACGGACTACCAGTTTTATCCGATGCTAGACTGTTCCTAAAAAGCCTAAATTTATAATTCTTTCACATTTACATACAAGCATGAGACATGATTCATCTCATGTTTATGAGGACAAATGCATAGGTAAATGTGAGCGAACAAACTTCATGCATCCTCAAATCAACCAATCTCCCTGATTATCAAGAAAAAAGATGAAGACCAAGTTTTTTTTTTTGTACATACATGAAAACTTTAATTTTCTTTTGGCAACTGTAGTTCAAGACGTCTTTGAAATAATCTAAAAAAAAAAAAATCACAATCAGATTACTCCAAAGGCGAAATTCCCATCTGATAACGCTTGTCAACGAAAATGTATAAAGTCCGCCGTATTCTGTACGATGCATGAATTCTGAACGCGCATGGACAAAACTTACCTGTATTTAACTTTACTATCCAGCAAACTGTTTCCAAAACAAAACTTAAGGGTGAAGCGACATTTGAATTACTTTATTGAATCCTAAGTTACTTTTCAACTTGATTGCCTTTCTCGTATAATCAAATTGTAATGCTGAGTACAATTTAAGACATTTTATAAACATCTCTTATTACAAGCACATAGAAAGGTTTTGATCTAAAAAAGAAGTACCGTTTAATTTTAAAAAACGGACCGTAATAGAGATCATCAAAAAAAAAATCGTAAAAATACGTCAAGGTAATGATATAGTTAGGCAGTTTTGTAAGTTGTGATTAGATACAACTGAAATGAAATTCATCTCAAAACTAAAAACTATAAAAGTTGAAAGATAGCTTATGTATACTTTGAGTTTATTAAGTGAGAGCATTGTTTACAGAACAAGAGACGAATTTTTTTTGTTGTTGGACACATCTTTTTTAAAATGGAAATCAAGGCTGTAAATCGCTCATCGAAACTGACAGTTTTTTTTAGTATGGAAGAAAAAGTAAATAATCCACTATAGCTCTATATAAAGATGATAAAATTTGCAAAGGAAACCAAACTAGGTACATCAGACTCCTTCATACTACACAAACCCACACAAGATTACATAAAAGTATCTCATACTACACCAGTTCTTAGCACAAACGTATTTGCTCTTAAGTTTTATCAACATCACCTAAATGCTTGCTCAATTAAAAATCAAAAAGACAGAGAAAATTTTCAATTGCCATAACAGACATGATCAACTGTTTCTTTTAAGAAAAAATAAATTCGTCCGCCATAACCAATTCGCTCAATTGGATTTAGAATAGACGAAACGATAAAATTAAAGTAATATGCAAAAGAAAGAAACAGAAAAAGAGTAATTTGATGTGAAAATAAGGCCGAAATATTAGGTTATGTAGGGGGGTATGACAACGGCTTTAACATAAAATCGAGTCAGTTACGGTTCGAAAATAATATACAAATGAGACCCGATTGGGGAGTCAATTATGCACCAGTGACTAATATTCAAACACCGTACACACAACTTTAAAGTGAGACCTTCTAATCTAAGCAAAAGGGAAAAGCAAGAGGGGGGTTTTTTTTATTGTTATTATTTTATACAGGCATATTATAATCTTCTATCAGGAGAATCCTCACAATCCTTTACGATTGCAACAATGACACTAATATCATCTGCTTTTCCTCCCTATACCATATCAGAAATAATGAGCAAAAAAAAAAAAAAAATTGGTATCTTAATATAGAGTGTGCCTTACCTGATAGTATAATCCTTCATTGATAGCTCTAACTTGAAACGGACTATCGACATTTAATTTACAATTACTGACGTATTTTGCTCTTTCGGCTAAAGCGTCAGAGATTTTTTGAGGTTCGATGGATAGAAATCGAGTGGGTCTTGTATTTGACAATTGCGATTTGACAATCGACAAGATCTCCTTATCGAATAAATTGTCGAATAAACCGTCTGATCCCATAATGATAATATCTCCCTTTTCCACAGCAACCGTAAATGCCTGAACAATTTGTTAAGAAAACAAAAAAAAAACTGCGAAAGTTTTTTATTTTATTTACCTGTGCATCCTTTGGTCGATCAGGAGAACTTGTTCCCAGCTGGTATGGAAAATTAAAGGAATGTTGTTGTTCCTCACTTCGAAAGACATAATCGTTGTGTCTTATCACAGATATACCGCAATCGCCCAGATTGGCAATACGTAATTCCTCGTGTCGTAATATGGCAAGACACGCTGTACATGAGCCAATGATACCTTCTTGTTGTGCTTCCTGCATACTTTCCTCATAACTTTTCTGTAATATGCTCACTGGATCTGCTTCATCATAATGATAAAAGCATGGATCATCGATATTTTCAAATCTTTCTAGTTGGAGATACGCATGATGCATCAGTTTTCTTGAATACAATGCTGCATTTGCCGCTATAAATTTACACATAAAATTAACAGGTTTGCTTGACTTACAATATGGGAGATTTTTGTTTTTTTTTTACCTGAAACGCCTGCCCAACCACCCACACCATCCGCCACACCCAGAGCATCGGATCTTCTAAAATAAGCATCTTCTCCAATCTGTATACTGTAATAATGATCATTTTTAAGCCTTAGCTTATTATCTGGGGTTGTGTAACGTGTTCTGCGCTTTGCAAATCCGGATGCGCCATGGGCAAAGATATAGGATGGGATGGTTTTAGCATAGGATTTGGAGAAGAAATCAAATAAAGGTAATGATTTATGATGTGACAGAGGCATGTGGTGATGATGATGATGATTATGATTATTTTGCTCAGGTAATTGTAATTCGGGAGAAGCGGCTCGAATACTTTCGTTGGATGAAAACGCTCGTCCACTTGTAGGTTGTTTATAAAGAGGACAATAATAATTTTCTGTGAGATGACGAATGGACGTTAGAGACGCCATGTTGCCCTGCGTATTCAGTGGACGGTAACTCAAGTGGTTGGCTGACGCTGTCACTGCTTTCCATGTGTTTGACTTCATTAGATATGTAAATAAGATAAAAGAGTAAAAAAAAAAAAAGGGAAAATATTTATTTAATTATTTTCGCTGCCGCATTATAAATACATGAAAAAAAAACCCTTTTTTATTTTGAATCTCAGATACACAGGCTTTTTTGTTTGTGTTCCCCATCTTTTTCGAACAATGCAGTAGTTTATTTATACAATCTTTTTTCACCTTTTTTTTCTAATAGATCTAGATCATCATAGCTTAGATAATGTAGCTAAATTTTCAATAATATTTTATTCCTCGGTGTTAAGTTCTTTTTTAATTACGAGACACACAATTGCTGCGGGAATTAGACAACCTTTTATATATATAAATTTCCAAGGGGAAAATATTAAACAGGATCTCCCTAGAATAGAGGAGGGGAGAGAGATATAATTTCTATATGAAGCACCTAGAACAGAGAAGGGAGACATTCATTCTATATTAAAGACATCAGAACAGAGGAGAAAGACATCCTTTCTATATTAAACAGAAACAGTGATACTTAACGCACTGGTGGGGATAGTTTACACAGAAAAACTATTTTTAGAAACAGATGTGTCACAGACAGTCAACTACAAATGTAAATGACTCTTTTCTTATCCACTGTTTCATGCTTTTGCATTCAGCAGCTCCCCAGAGGCAGCTTCTAATTTTAGCATACTCATTACAGGAATTGAATGATGACTATTGACACACTCTGCGTACAGTCTCTTTTTACAGAGAAATAACAAAGAGCTTTATTCTTTTATGTACCTGCATACAATCTTTTTTTTTTTATATGCTAAGCAAAGTTACTCTATAGATCGTCTTCTGTATCACAAGAAAGTATAGAGTCAAGTCAGAAGAAACATTCTAGTGTCAAGTACTTGGAAGGACTGGAAAGTATGTGTTGACATTGCACGCGAAGGTCTCCTTTCCATTTAGTCACAAGGTCTGACAGACACAGCATGTCATTATCAATAGTTCATAGTAGTAACGGTATCTCTACATGGAAGACAGGCATAAAAACGTTGTAATGGAACTTTCTCAATTCATGCTAGGTATTTCTGCAGTGTTTTTTTTTTCTTGGCATCGACCTCCCAACAATTTTTTTACATTGGGGACAGACATTATTTTCCTAATGTGACTGAAAAGTTAAAAATCACACGATCGACCCGAATAAATTAATAATGGAAGCGGACTTTCTTGTTGTGATTTGGGACTAAAAGAGAAGAGAAGGTTGACAAGAGAAAGGTATGACGTAAAGATGATGGGGGCGTATGGGTTTTATTAAAGATGTGAAAGATAAAAGGATGTGGGGCGGGAATAATGTAAGGGGTGGGGGTGGAGACAACAAGAAAGGGTGTCTATTCTATGAGTGTTGAGGATGGTTTCATGGTATTGCAACACCGTACAGAACAAAAGCGATAAAGAACAGGTATATGATGATTCTTGAGTACACTTTGCCAAATAATTTCCTCTAAATCTGGTAAATGGAAAAGTAATTTACATTGTTCACAATAATTTACTCGAGAAATCGATTGAAATCGGTGGAGAATCTCTGTAGGTAATATACACTTGTTTTCCTTAATCATACTGTCTGACTGTGTGTTCGTCAAAAGACTTCGGGTAGCGATCTCTGTTAAAGAAGACCTTCTTTGTTGTATGCGTTTCCTGTGTGAGTTGTCCTCGGGTAAAGGTAAAAATGGGTTGGGTAAAAGCGAAAGGATATCCAATTTCTTTAAACGCAAAAGCTCTGCCGGCACTGTAGTCTGATGTATACAATTAGTAATGTGTATGGACTATTTGTTTTTGTGTATATAAGTACCAGCTGATTGTTTCCAAGCGAAAGTTCTACTAGATTTTCAAGTAAGGCTATGTCAGGTGGAATGGAGATTAAGCGGTTATTTCCTTAAGAAATGAACCAAAATAAAAAGTTGTTAGTAAAGCATAGTGAGGATTTAGATATTAGCTTACTCAGACTAAGAACCGTCAAATTCTTCAGGCGAAATAAGCATGGATTGATTGATTCTAGGTAATTTCCATACAGGAATATTTGCAAAGAAGCGGTTTTTACTATATCGTTATGAACAACTGTGACATATTGGAGTTCGCCTATTTCGTCGGGTATTTCCGTCAACTCCACATTACTAATAAGTGAATAAATTAGTCATTTGTGGCATAGAGAAAGATGTGGAAAAACAGAATTAACCTTATGTCTACTCGTTCAATACCGTGATCGATTGTTTTATCGATGGCTTTACGCACTTTGTCAGCGGGTGTTTCGGTGCTGATGGTAAGTTTACGGCGAAACATTTCTCTAGTGTTTATATCCCAGCTTAATGAATTCATGCGATTTCGTTTTCTATCCAATATGTCATCGAGGAATTCTTGTTCCAGACTACTGTTACTTTCGAAACTGCTGCCACTGCTACTTTCGTAATATGAGTCCTTTATTGAAGGCAAGATGGGTTGTTCATGTCGGAATTGAGGTAAAAAGTCTTCATCCTCTGAGGCATCCGTGTCTACCCATTCCACGTTATCATATTTTGGTGCTATTTCCGAAATAGAAAGGTTCATAACGCCAGTGTTCAAGAAAGAAAGAGAGAAGAAAAAAAAAGAGAGAAAAGAGAGAGAGAAAAAGAAGAAATTCGGTGTGCCCTCCCCCCCTTTTTTTTAATGCGAAAGAGGTCCTATGCCCCGGCATATTGAACTCAAGATCCATTCCCATCTCCGGCCCTGCAGTGTGTGGACATATAAAAAAAAAAGTTTTTTTTTTATTTGAGGGTTTTTGTACAAATATTGTGGCGTGTGTGTGTGTGTGTGTGTGGGTTATGTATATAGTTTATAGTAAATAGACAGAAAAAGATATTTACTTCTTCTTACCAAAGGTCAATGGGTCACCAATGTTCTTTCCTCTCAACTTGATACCAAGAGCACGTTCCATCTTACCAAGAACATTTTGGTTAGGAATAGCCTTACCAGACTCATATTCGTTCACAACTTGAGGCTTCTCGTTAATAGCAACAGCTAAATCCTTTTGAAGCATTTTCTTGTCTTGACGACCCTTTTGAATGGCCTTACCAACAGAGACATCCACACGAGGAGGAGGGGCAACATCGTTATCACGATCAAGCTTAGCAATACGACGATGATCAGTATCAGCGTGACTAGAGTTAGTCAATGTGGACTTTTTATCGGTAGCAATAGCAACACCAGCCTATATTCTTTATCGTTAGTTCTCGGCACGCACTCTAGTTTAAACCATACAATTAACTTACTCTTCTGGCAGCATTGATTTCAGCATCAGTACGGGTGACCTTGGCCTTTCCAGGATCACGCTTACGAAGAACAGTTACAGAATCCCAATCTAACAAGAAAGTAATACTTCGCGTTTAGTTTCGTTCTTTTTCCCTTGTCATCTTTTTATCTTCATTTACCAGACATCTTTTATTAATTTAGTTTTGGAGTGAAAAAGAAGAAAAAATAAAGGAAAATTAACCGCAGTTCTTTTAAAAAAAAATTGTTTGCTGGCGCATTCTATTTTAACCAATGAAAAATCACGCGTCTTGGAAAGCCATGGAAAAAACACACGGAGTTGTAAACAATTTTTTTTTTATTATAATTACTATTTTCTAACAGTCTTTGCCCTTTCAACAAACCAACGAGCTTCTTTGGCTCGATGGATAATGGCACCACGCACCGTACCTCTTTTTGAAAGTTTACCCGCCTTTTGTACAGGTATATTACGTCGTCGTTCATCACGTCGTTTCTTGAACAATTCTCGACGGTCCGCAATCTCTTCATCACTCACTTGTGTAGTAGACGCATATTGTAGATAAGTCCCGTCAATCAATTGATTACAGTCCACCATGCGCTTTGGCATATTCTACGTAATTTTTTAAATATGAGTAACTATTCCAGTGTACACCTAAAAAGAACAAACCTGGATAACTTGGAATACTTCAAGTGGATCGTGCACGGCCATGATTTCATTCTCGTTCAATTTAAATATGCCTAGCGCAATACGAAACAGCACCTTTTGTCCATCACTAAAAAGATATGTCAGAACACTTTTCATCATCCATACGGGGTTTAACTTACTAGAACAAACAATCCCATACACGTAGCACACTCTACAATAAATAATGAAAAAGGAAGCGGAAGTTAGTCACTTTGCAAAAAAAAAAAGGGGGGGGGGAGGTGTTGCGTGGTTTTTACCTCGATAGGCAGGATATTAATGAACAAGGTAAGAAACCAATGACTGGTCACTAAAGAGCAGGTAGGCATGCCTACACCTTCCTCCTCGCATTCCCAAAAAGTTTTACCGCCAGACATTCTATTCCATAAGTGGGGAAATCTTTCTGAGATTAGTATCATCAGCACGTTTTGATCTATATTAGCACCTTCCATCGTCACATCATAGACATTGGGAGGCAATATCACAGTGATGGTCATGACAAAGGTCCAAAAGGCTTCTTCCTCCGTCATGAACAGTAAGAGCATACCTGCAATATAGTTTAGTGATTGACAGTAACCAATGGAAGGTGAATACAATGAAAATGCTAAGAGTAATCTTCGCAAGGATTTGATGATGGGTATATTGTTTTTCTCTTCTACAGATGCCGGTGGTGTATGACTACCATCCACGCTTGTGTAAGGGCGAAATGCTTTATTCTCTGGGAAGGTACGATGTAAATCTGATGTGGAGGGGTAAGTAAAACTAAAAAGTAAACCTCCACCTTTATCACACGTATTACCTCTTTCTATAATCTCGAGATTCTCGTTTTTACTTCCTAATTCTTCGGCACGTCGTACTAGATCAAGATAGAGGCCTACATTTGATTCCATTCTCGCTTTAGCTCCACTATAATGTAACCAAGCCTATATAGAAATTAAAAACGTGGAACAGATAAATTACTTTTTTTTATATATTGCCGTCTCATTTTTTTTTTTTTTTACCTGTCCTCTTAATTCTGGTGGAATCCCCTTTCGGATGTAACGTTTAACTAGTATAAACGTCAATAAAAAACGTTTTTTTTATTTATTTTTTTCGCAATTAATTTCTACCAATTGATTCTTATTACCTTTACTACTCTTGGCAGGCCACATATCATGATTGTCAGATAATAATTGGCGCCATTTTAATAATCGACGTTTCATCATTGGCGCATAATAATTTTCAAAACCATTGAATTCATCTTCAGTAATCCATTGCGTGCTCTTTAAAAACCCGTATTGATCTCTATTCCCATACAATTGTCCTTTTTTTTAAGCTGATAGATTCCATGTCATTTTATTTTTAAAAATCGCTTACCTTTGACCGGTTTGCTTCTGAGGAGGTGGGTACGTCGCATTAGATCCATCATCGTACAATTGACTGCCATTGGTAGTAGTACTGCTATTCTTACTGGAAAGCATACCAAATACCCCCTTTTTCCCTGTGGTTGGTGCTGATTGTGCTGATTGTGCTGCTGATGATGTATTTTTTCGGTTTACAACCAATTTGTCTTTAAACGAACTGGTGAATGATTTAGAATCGGATGGTGTGATCGGAGTTGGTGATTCTACATGGATTTTTTTTTTTTTTAATTAATATAATGGGGGGAATGATTTACACGCATATTTTTTTTTTATATACATATATACTTTACCAACAAAGTCTCGATGTTCACCCAAGGTAGTACGTACACATAAGGACCCATCATCCTCTTCCGTATACTCTTCCGACCCTGAATCATCATCAATGGAAGAAGCCCCATTATGAACATGTTTCTTACTGACGGCTAAAAAATTACTATGAGAAGCCACGGGTTGCACAGGTCGTTGTTCGTATCGGTGTACATGGGAATCAAAACTAGGTCGTCTTCTCATTCTATGACTACTGTTTGTATTTGTAAAAAGTAAATCGGAATGCTGTCTGCGAATCACAGAATGATTGAAAGAAGACGACCGAGCACGGCCTCCGAACGTTTCTTGTGGCCGAGATGGGAAAGACATGTTGTGAATTATTAGAAAGAAAGCAAAAAAACGAAAGAGAGAAAAGGGGTATAAAAAAAAAGAGAGAGAAAGAGAAAGGGAAATAATTGTAATTTGCACCTCCTCCCCTCTCACTCTGACTCTCATAAACACGCACCGTAGATCACACAAGCAAACGCAACAGTGACCGTCTTCTTTTGTTGCCATGTGTTGCGGAGTTGATCAATCTGTCTGTTACCATGGTGCATGGTCCATTTACAAAAATAGAAGAGTTACACCTACTCCCCTTTTTATTGACTATTGACGGAAACCCAAAAAAAAAAAAAAAAAAAAAAAAAATTGAAAACCTCCCATTGTTTACAACTCACGAGTTTTCTTGCACTTTTTTTTCATACAGAAGGAGATCCATCTCCTGATTTATTTTTACTTTCTTGTACTTCATGTCTGGAACAAGTTTTTTTCAAACTAACTTTAGCAGTATTCTAGTAGTTTTCTAAAATGAAAAAATGTCATTTTACCCATAACACGGAGAGAGAGCAAAAGTCTCCTTTTTTTTTTCCCCAACAGACTGATCTACCCTTTTCATTGTTCAATTACGTGTAACCCTCCGTTACCTCTCTCTCTCCCTTTTTTTCTGTATAAAAAAAGAAACAAAAAATCATCCGATGGGCAATCGTATGTTTACTTATGGACCTCCCTCGGGAACGGGTCTAGGGCGGACCTTTTTTTTTTTTTTTTTTTTGCCTTTCTAGAAGATGTGATGTAATTGAAAACTGGTTTTCTACCCACTTTACAAAAAAAAACATGGCTACTCCAAGAACAGACATGACTAAAAGCAATACCTTTCGATTAGAGATAAAAGAAGTGAATTCTATTTACAAAGGTTAAAAAGAATGAAGATAGATTTACTGTCCTCTCTGCATTTAGAATGCTTCTTTTTTTATCACTATACCCATAAATGATCGTGTATATCAATCAACCATGAAAAGCACTGGAAACGGTGATTTTAGTATCCTTTCCTTTTTGTAATCTCTCTTCTCCTTGATGGCACACCTAAAACAATTTTTGAGGATTTGTTATCATCTAAATAGTAAATCAATGCTGTTTAGGGTATTTGGGTTTTATTGTTGAGCGGGAATGCTTAATGACCGTTCTTTCCCAAGCCAGGATTTTTTTTTAGAACTTCTCCACATTAAACTAGTTTTGTTCATGGGGTCGTGGGAGCTTCAATTGACGCGTCCGAATCGATTCGAATCACAAGTCATTGTAATAATTCAGACTTATCCGTTACGAAAGCACTAGAAAAAAAACAGTGATCAAATATGAAATACTTGAAGGATAAATAGTGATATTACCACTAGCAAAATGCTTGATTAATCATGTTTGATGAGCTGCTTCTTGACAACTCCAACCGGGGTTTGAGAATAGAGTTTGTTATGTCTTTCTGGTTGCTTGTGCGGTATAAGCATCGCAGCCGTCAGAATTTTTTTATAGACTGGTGAACAAGAACTATTATCGACCATGACAGGCACACACGTCCCCCATACACATATGCACACACACAACCTTTTTTTTTGTCCAGGGCTATCCCAGCTGATAAAGTAAAAAAAAATCTGAAGAAAAATAACTGTCAATGGATTTTTTTAGGTGTATATTCATGACTTAATCCATAAAAATAGATTGGGCATCTTAGTTCCTAAATCAGCTGCTAACCTGCGCTTGTGCTTTTCAACAATATCAAAATCGATTCATTTTCAAAATACCCAAACTTGATTAAAACTACTCACAGAAGCGATACATACCACTCATGCATTGGTTTTATCTTGCGCCTCTCAAAATCTGTTGATATCTTCCATTCATTATAATAACAGGTCGGATACTTCCCCTACCTCACTCCATTAATATTTCTCAACTGGTCGAAAAAAACACTTTATCAGAATAATTCCTTACTCGTACCATGGCCAATGTTAGTCAAACCCTATTTGGCTCAATAACATAAGTCATTTTAGCACTTGGAAAATTCTATTCAACGCCATAGAATGAATTATTTGACCTCCATTGGGGAGTCTGTTTACATAATAAAACTACGCAGAAACAAAATGTTGTCCCAGCTGCGACCAAGGTTACTAAAGTTGATTACAATATTAAACTTGGTCTTACTTTATATAAATTAACAATTATACTGTTAATGTTAACATTCACGTTATTGAGCTCGCTTAATTTTAAGTTTTCCTAGGCCGTGATTGCTCCTTTTTATATTGAATTTAACGAAAGAAAAAAAAATGTATAATACTGGTGCCAAAACGGTGTATGTCTATTATTCTCAAATGTTGAGGACGAAAGCATTTTATTATGTCTTAAATATCCTTTAGCAAAGAACTTCTGCTCTCCGTAGTTCATCTTATACTGAAGGTTTTTAAAATGTATGATAAGTATATAAAAAAAAAGATTATGACCAAGTTAGAGTAATTTTTTTTTTATTTATTTACAAATGATAATACATAAACTCTACTAATAAATGCTTCTCCTAGTTCCCAACATAAAATATTTGGTTAAAAGGCCAGACCACGAGAAGGTGGAAGCATATCCTGACCCAAAAAAAAAGTGCTCCGTAGAGCTCCTTCTCAGAGATTTAGTGTCATCCTTGTGCAGGGGCCATGCTAATCTTCTCTGCATCGTTCCAATTTTGATAATCAGAGGTCTAAAGACTTGACAAAAAAGGACGAAGTCGAGAAAAACTGGACCTTTTTTTCGCAGTGGGAAGTTTTTCATTGCGCAGCAATCATGCAAACTCGCTCTGAGTTTCAACACAGGAGAATGCAAAAAAAAAAATCATAGACGCATTTTTTTCTGCTGGGACAGATAAATTTCTCTATGAGATGATTTTGAATTAAATAAAAAACTTTGCTGGGATAATTCAAGAAAATTTTGGTACGTTTTATGAACAAGTACAAAACAAATTAGGACTATGTTAGGACCATTCGGGCGAAATTTTATTTTTTAATTTGCTAAAATGGTTTTCTTTTATGAAAAAAAAAAAAAAAAAAAAAAATGGATAGCTGGCATAGTAAAGTGTGATGGGTAAAATGATAATGGATGAAAGGATTTTTATGCTCAAAAATCAATGGATACTCTTAAATTTTTTGGTTTGTGAGTGTTGATTATTTTACCAAG